AAATATAAGCTAAGATATAAATACTATTTTCATCAGAATATTCAACTATAGTAGCATTTACATAGATAAATACTTTGACGAAGATAATATAGAAAGTAAAGATAAAATAAAATAGAAATATTCTAGAAATGGTAAAGGTGCAATAAATACAATAAATGCCAACAGTATTGTAATTGATCTGTAATACAAGACTATTCTAGAATAACTAATATTTCAAGGATCAATGCTAGTGAAAATCAGACAAGGTATAGAGAAGATCTTGGATGAAAATAAAGTGTAACAGTAGGTAGGTTAGCATTTAACTTGTTGTATGTTTTTTGTATCCAAGAGATGTTGTTTCTTTTATTAATGTATTTATCAATACCATAAAAATAAAGAAATGATATTTATCTACTGAAAAAAAAAAAGAAAAAAAAATTAATAGATTGGAAAAAATTTATATATATTATTTTTGTGTTTCATATATACATATGATTACTTATATTTCTTATATCTTTTTGCAAATTTTTGTCCTATTTGAAAAATCTTTAACTAAAATTAATTATTTGCTTTTTGATTTGGATAAAGTGCTACTGTTGTCATTTATTATGGACAGATAAAGGTCAGTCACAAAATATTCAATCCTTAATATACTAAAAACTAAATATTGTATTATAGGCTAAAGTCATAAAAAAGAAATAAAAAATGTTGAGATCATTTGTTTTCTGTTAACATTATATATTTTAGTTATATTGTTGTGTATAATAGTATTAATAACAAAGTGAGTAATATTAAGTAAATTATACAAGTGACACAAACAAGTCAATAGAAGAAGTAAATTGATTGAAATATCATGTCACTTTTTATTTCTCTTTATAATATCTAGAACTTGAAATATTAAAAAAATTATATTTCTATAAAATATTTGAATAAGTATTATATTCTGTAATAATTAGAACCTGAGTTAAAAAGTTAATGTTATTAGTATCTGATAAAATATTAATAGGATTTATAGGATTTATTTATTTAACTAATATAGGTTACAGGATTAATTTTATATATATTTTATTTATTGTTTTATTTTTATTGTTTATTGTTTATTTTTTTTTATATTTTATTTAATTAGTTAAATATTGTTAATATAAAAATTGTAATAGGAGACATTATGTAACATGTGGAACCCAGTGCAGTACTGTATGGGGCATCGATTATGTATCAATTATACATAATTGATAGGCTCAAAGCTTGTCAAAGTTTGGCAATTTTGCATAACATGACGATAGATTTAAAGATGCATTGTAGTTATATAAATAGCAATGATACCAAATATAAAAGACAAAAATAAAATTAATAAAAAATACTATTTTGCTGAAAAACCAAGTGTTTGTACCTGTGCAATGATAATTAATAAACTTATCTTATTTGTTTTTAGTTATTCTAGAGAGAATCCAAGGCCTTGTAGTTTAATAAGAAAAGGATTAAAAGAGGGGACTAGCTAAATATAGAGAAAATTAGAATAATTATTACTATATGTACCTTTGGTATCACCAGTAACATAGACCCACTTACTTCAATATTGCATAAGTTTTGATTCAGATTAGCAATAGACTTGCTATTGAGGCCAACAATATATATAATTTTCAGAGAACCAATAAAATTATATATATATTTTTAATTATATACTTTTATTATATTTATTTATATTGGAAAAAAATATATATAAAGAAGCTTTTTTTAAAAAAAATAACAGAGTTGTCTAGTTTCTCTTACATTTAATAAAGTTTTTCTTTATTAATTATAAATAATGCCTTGTTTATAACTTCTTTAATATAAAATGTTATATTGTAAATATTAACCTATATCTTCTAGCTATATAAAAAATATTGTTCAACTTTTCAAGTCATTAAGAAGTATAAATAAAATCTCAATAGTACAATTTATTTCATTATTAAAGACACTTGTTTGAGAATAAAAAGAATAAAAAATAAAGATCTACAAATATTAAATTCTAAAATTACTATTTCTGATAAAATAATTTCATTTTAACAATATTATATAAAAGAATTTTGAAAATTAATTCAATAATTATCTAATAATCAAGAAGAAATTATCAATATTAATGATTATATTAAAATTAATTCTTTATATAAATATATTGATCCATATAATAAAAATATTTTAAATATTATAAGTTTAACTCAAATTAAAATAGTCAAAAAAACAAAACTTCTAAAAGTTATTCAAAAAATTAATATATTAAAATTTATTAAATAAAAAATATTAATATAGATAGTAATTAAAAACATTTTTTTTATTTTTAAACAAAAATTGTTACAATATAATAAAAATTAAAATTAAAATTATATATTTGGGTAATTATTTTTGAAGGCGACAAAAATGCTAGATATGATTTTTTGAACCAAACCTTTAAACAATGCATATATAGTATAAATTTTAGGATCACACCAGAAAATTTCCAGTTCACCTTTGAAAATAATTACCTATTTATATATTATATATTATATATTATATTACAAAATTTTATTTATATGCTAAAGCTTATACAATAAATACAATATATTATTTGTATTAATAATTAAAATTTCATATTTTAATATAATTACTAATTATATTATTATTATTTTTATAAATTTTTAAAATATATATATTATTTTAATATATAACAAATTCAAAGCACTATAAATCAAAAACTGTATTTTTATAATTCCAAATAATTATTTGCAAAAAAACAAGAAAAATACTTTTTGTTAAGAATATAAAGGTGATTGTTATAATAAATATTTTGAGGAATTTAATATTTATTCTTATGGATAAATTTTTTTTTGATAATTATTCAAGTATAGCAAAAAAATATTTTTATTAATATTTGTTAAAATAATTTATTTCTTAGATAATTTAAGTTATATTTTTTATTTTTTACTTTAGCCATTATTATAAACTGCAAGTATATTTTTTATTTTAAAAGTGTTTTAATTAATCTAGGTTATATTTCTTAACTATAATTACAGGTGGTAGTCATGTTTTTATTAATATTTGTTAAGTTAATTAATTTTAAAGATATTTTAATTGATCTGAATTATATTTTTTACTTTTAGAAAATAAATACATTTTTATTTTTTAATAACAATTATAAATAATAAGCATATTTTTATTAATATTTGTTTGGTAAATTTATTTCAAAGTATTTTATTGATTTGAATTATATTTTTTACTTTAAAAACAATTACAAGTAACAAGCATATTTTTACATTAAACAACATTGAAAAGCAAGTGTGCCAATTCCAATTATGACCTGAAGGTAAATTTGTATATTTGAATGCAACATCTTCATACAATTCTCTTTAGTTCCCCACTAGACACCACTCAAAATTTAGTATAGATTTTGATGTTTTTTTTTTATTACTTGAGTGATTAGTAGAAAAAAAAAAAACTAGAATAGGTGAATCATTTTTTTGAGTTTTGCATTAAACTCTTCTTAGCAAAGAAAAATACATATTAACCTTACAATTTGTAATATTACCATTCAGTAATCCCTTATAAGAAAAATCCTGGTTGATAACTATCCTGGTTAAAATAAAAAAACATAGTTTTAAATCTAAAAGTCTGAGACTAACACCATGATAGTAAAGCAACAAGAAACTGTAGTTACCCTTTGCTCGATGTAAAGACACTTGTAGTCCTGAGACGCGACTAGAGTACGGTCGTAAGAAAATCAGAAAGTACAAATGGTCGGTTAGTTGTAACACGCATCGGGGTTAAAGCCTTATTTAGCATAAAAATCCAAGCGTTCGGATTATTGCCACGCGAAAAGTCGTTCGGGCTAGAGACCGACTCGTCTTTTTTAACAAGAAAAAAATTTTTATTAAAAAAAATTTTAAAAATAGTAATATTTATGTTTGTATAGTTGTAACATTCAAACGTCAAAGATTGGTGGTATTTGTTTGTAGTAAATAAACATTTTTGTACTTTGAAACTAGTACCCTTTACTATGCATATCGTATCCCATATAGGTTTTAGCCCCAAAACTTAAAACCGATCCATCACCACTCGCACAAATCACATTTAAACGTTTTTGATCCACCGAGATCATTTTTTACGAATCCCGCACGTCTTTGTATACTCTTCGGTGCATCCAATAAACTTGAACCTTTGAAACCCATTTCCATATCAACAATTCACAAAAATCTCGTACAGACGCATTGTATTACGTAAAAGTACTAGTGTCAAAGTCATCATTTTAGATTAAATTGTAATACTGTATAGGTAACACCCATTATATATACAGAATTTCTTGTATTAAATTATATCTTTAAAAATTTTTTATTTAATCTTGTAATCATTATTTTCGTATTATCGTGCGTATATGCATACATATGAAACAAAAAGATCACAGCCATGTGACTCATAAATAATTTACAACCATAAACTTAAATACATAAAATCAATCGCAAAGAGAACCACATGAACGTGAAGATGACTGGAAATAATCTCTTCAGATAAGTTGAAGCTCTTTCGTTCGTTTTTGGGCGTAAAACCTTGTCACATGAAATGATGTTTTATGTTTCAGGAGTTCCTTGCATGCGCAAGAAAGTATCTCGTCATATTTAGCCGAATTCATACTGGTAAATTCCAATATCATATTCTTTAAAGTGCTAAATACGTATGTGAACTCTGAAATTGTCTAAATACGCAAAATAATTAAAGATGTGTTCATTATTAACTTCTCGAAAAAGATGAGTTTATAAATTGGCCGACTTACTAATTGGAAGTCACAGTATTTCACAAATTTGTCTTCGCGGCGAAATTCAATAAGATCATCATCATTTTGAAATAGATCAGGAAGAATTTCATATACTGGAATTCCACTGGCTCCACGGTTATGAAAAACGGTGGACACTTAAAACAACAAAATGCAGAAGTAAGCAAATAGTTGACATTCGACATAAAATCAAAGGAGAAGAACACACATTTATCCATGAGAAATTCGGTATTTGGACCAGTCTCATATAATTTTCTTTCGTATTCCGTTATCTCTAACCAACCACCCGGTTTCAAAAGTCTTAATAAATCCGGAAATATTTGTTCTTTGCAACATTTTCCCGGAAAATAAGCCAGAAGATCGTTTACATAAATATAATCAAACGAACCGTCTTCAAACGGCAAATCCTCCATAACATTGGCTTGTATGAAGGTGAGATTGTCTGGCATGCGATCCGCTGGGTATAGTGGCACGATGTCGACACCCGTGAAATGTGACTGAGGATATTCGGTCGCCATGTCCATCAACCACGTGGCTGGCCCACAGCTTAAGAAAGAGAAGGATTGGTGTGTAAACAAAGTAGTGATTGCATATGTAATACATAAAAATATGAGGATGGCGCACTTACCCTACGTCAAGTACATTCATATTACCCAGATTTAACAGCGTTTTTACTGGGGAAGAGAAGTGCGATTTCCAAACGTGCCACTGTGTATGATGTCTTTTATGCAATCTGTCAGCTTCTATATCATCCACTGCTAACAAATATTCATTATTAGAGTTCTTGAGGAATATTCGTCCATTGCTAGTAACTAAATTTAAATCGACATTCGAATCTCCACTATCTTGGCTGCCGCGACTGTTTTTTCTCTGACACGACTGATACTGTTTTCTTGACGATTTTAATCTAATGGATTGATTAGCTCCCATTATTCTTAAGTCAAGGTAATCGATGGTAACAAACAAGGGAAAAGAGAGTGATGGTATAAAGGAATGAGATGAAAAGGTTGTATATAAAATACGTCGTTACGATTAAAAAAGTTTGAAGGATGAGTCTGAAACGAGCGTTCGTATTTAAATTTATGCGTTTTCAAAAATTTATACTTTGGTTTGTGTAATCTTTAAATTGTTTTTTAATGCACAAAAATTAAATGACTCTTTGTCTTCGATCTGTGATTGCCTTCCAAGAATATATTATTTATTTATTTCATGTATATTGTTTTTCCTATGTTTTTTTTTCATTTCCTTTTATGTATATTTTTGTAAGTTTTATGCATGTGAAAATTTTTAATTCGTCCCTAGGATAATTAATTGGACTCCACGCATTCTGGGAAGTAATCTGTCAAAAGAATTTCGAACAATGTTTGATGTGCAAAAAAACAAATGCGCTATTTAGGAAATAGAGAGTAGATTTATTATTGTAGCACAATTTTAATTATAACATTCTTATTATGCTTATTATATTGTCACGTCGATATTTGCGAGACTACGGTTTCCTTTTCTGGTAATCCTTAAAAGTTTAGTCAGATTTAAATTCAAAAACTGTCACCAGAAGAAGAGTTAATTTTCGGCCGACGGTGGGTGGGTGTCATAAAACCGGCAAATTTTTAATGGAAAAATGTCGAACATAACTTATTATCATAACCCTCATTCCACGTGAAATCCTGCAGTTTCTTAATTTGGTCATATACGCACTTTCTCAATTACTAACAAAATTTCGCATAATTTACTGTGTAACGAGAATCCGTACAATTTAAGAAGTTGCGCGGCAATTTTATTTTAAAATTGATAGAAAAAAATTATATTTTTAGCATTTTAATAAAATAATCTATTAAATTATAATTTAAATGTTTATAAATTTTTAGAATGGATTTGTTTTATTTAAATTTCTTTCTTAATTTGAAATTTGAACATGTGCAATGAGATTCTCCTAATGGGTTCTCATATTAACAAAGATTATTTTATCACAAAGTTCTTATTGCATAAAAATAGTTATTTATCAAACAAATAATTTATCTATTAATAAAAAAATCCAAAGCCCTTAATAACATATATATAAATATTCGTGCTAGTTACAGTAGTAGCAATCTTACCAATTGCTTGTTGAAATAAAAAAGTATAAGTGATTAATATTATTTGAGGCAAAACCTTAAGAACCCTCATTATGTACTTCGTAAAAAATACCATTAACTTGTTTTTAACATGCAAAATAACCAATTTATTATATTAACATACAATATACTGTATTTACATTATGTGCTATTATTATTAACAAAAATTTACATCATGTGCTATTACTATTAACAAAGAAATTTATTTGATATTTAATAGATAACTTATTGTCCGAAGCAAATTTCCGTATGCATTCTTTTCCGAGTATATTGCATTATTATTAGATTAGATTGTCTAGCGTTTAGTTTATTAAACTTCATATGCACAGTATATGAAGCTTCGGACAGACCTAATATTTGTAAGATTTCTATAGATAATCATAATCGGATCCTTTTACTTTCCACCATCAAACATTCATTATTAATACATGTTCCACGCATGACTAACAGTAATTACTTTCCATTTAATAATTTTATTGAGAATTTTAGTAATATATTAATGTATATGTAACACGCCATTATACAATGGTAACATTTAAAGTTATACCATCTCCGTGTTACCGTGTTTTATCGAGAAACGTCTTAAGTTTCTCGATCCTAGAGAAAGGCGTGACCGTCCTCCAAATATAACCAATTATCGTTTCTCCATGAGAATTTAAAAGAACGTATCCGGAAAGGATATATTTGTTGCAAGTCCTCAAGTTATAAAAGGATATGATTAAGTCTGTACAGTACAATAAAAATTACTTTTTCCTTTTAATTATGACCGACACCGAATATAGGAAAATATCTACTCGAATTATTACTTGAGAATTGATCGAATCCGAAATTAGTAGTAGCTAAACTTTCAATATATATTTCATACAACCAATAAACTCGAAATTTTACTTTAAAAAAGGGAAACGCATCGCGCAGCTTGTACAACATCTTAAAAACATTCATATTGATGATACTATGTAGTTAACGAAAACGGTTATACGTTTGATATCGAACATATTTGTACTGTAATGATGGTACGGTATAATGTATCCGATGACCACAAAAAAACATATTATACTGTATGCTTACTTACTTAGTCACAAATTGATATGTGTTAAGTAAAAAAGGAAAGGCTTAAGCTAAACATATTGAAAATTATTGAAATTCTTAGTCATATTTAATGAAAAGGGATGGCGTGTAACTTGTTACTTAATGCAATTATTTGGATCTCCACACGAAATAAAAATTTTTATACAGCCTGTTATTCGGTAATGTGATCATATTTGACCTCCGCATCTAGAAGAATGCATTTTGTCTATTAAAAAAACTTTGTAATCATACATGCTTTAATGAAGCAAGATATCGACTTTATTTCTTCATTATACCTCTTCAATATTAAGTAATCTGTTTACATAATACTAGAATACAAACAAACCATTTGTGGAAGCCTCTTGATTTTCCATAATGTAAAATTCGTTATTAATGTTCTAAATATTCACCAATCGTAAATCATATTGAGCGGAATTACTTTTTATTTGTTTTTTTTAGTTAGTTAGCCACAACAAGGGTGGAGCGGTTATTTGAGACGGTGATCTAAGTAAATGTGGTTAGACTATTATCTCTGTATGTTTGTTTTTTTTTAAATATATACATATTATTTACATTTATTTTTAATTTATAAAGCTTAAACGTGAACTGTAATGAGGATCCAAGATACCAATACGTATAGCAATGTTTTCCAAAAAAGGTGTTTTACCGTATGATTATACGTACAAATAATCCGTCAAATAGGAATTTTCTCATATCGAAAAATATTCGGTACTTAGGTGATATAACAATTATTTCAAGTTTTGTCGTATCTAATCATTTCCTGTGTTTTTCCTTTAATCGGATATCTTCTTTTCCATAGAGTAGATATTCAATGCTGCTGTTCAATTATTTTTAAATCGATATATTCGTTTAGTTTAATTTATAATATAATATTTCGATTGTCTAACGTAGAAATAATTTAAAATTAATCTTAAAATTAAGAATATTAAAACAAGCTTTTTCATTTGAATTTGAAAACATCTGAAATTATTTGTTAGTATCATTTTTTTTATATAAGCCTTTTGTAACTTTCACGATATTCAAATAACAATTGTACGTATTTTTATAATCCATTTTACACAATCATACAGTATATCAATGGTTTAAATCATACTGTATTCATTACAAATCTACTTATTTTAAAATTTCAATAATTCTTTTTCTTTTCTAAAATTGCGCACGAATGTTTATTAATGTTAAATAAATGTCAAATAATAAATTTATTGTTTGGATTCAGATAAATTCACTATGCATTTGCTCTTATTTAATTTAAGTTATGATATACGGTATTTATGAAGAAAATATTAAAATTGTCAATTTCATTACAAATCCTGCATATTACTTTACAATAAAGCTTCGAAAAAAAACATATCTGTATTTAAATTAAAAAAAAAAAAATCATGCATATACAGTAGGTAAACTTTAAAAATACCAAATTATTTAAACGGGGAAATGACGATCGACGGTATGGCTTAAAATTTGCGAAACGTCGATCACGCATTATAGAGGATACCTAAAAGGGTAATCGACCCCTCACCTCAACCTTCTTTATTTTCTTTTGTTTTTTTTTTATTTCTTTTCGATCGATTATTTCTTTTATTTCTGCCATAAAATATAAAAACGATGTAATTAATGGATTGAAAAAAAGGTGGTAAAAAAAGTGTTCAAATAAAATCACCATACTTATCGCACTGTTCTTGATCTAAACTCGCCAAATCTACACCTTCTTTATGCCTATCACCCCCGTTAACCCCGAAACCCCTGTACCAAGTGCCGCGAAGTCAAGTGACTGTTTTTATACTCTGACTTGCGACACTAATAAATATTACATACATGTGCATTTATTCCGACCATCATCCCCTTATTATGTGTGACGTAATAATGATTTTGAATTTATTACGTTATTTATTATACAGTACGTTTAATTTGAAGTTATACCGTCACCGTGTTACCAGTGTTTTATCGAGAAATGTCTTAAGTTTCTCGATCCCTGAAAAAAATTGTGACCGTGGTTTATCGAGAAGTATATTGATTTTTTCGATCCTCGGAAAATTGTGGCCGTGGATCGAAGATGAGTTATTTTATCTTTATCGTGAAAGTTCTCCCGAAAACATAACCAATTATCGAAGAATTCAAAAGAACGTATCAGGAAAAGGGCATATGATTAATAACCAGATCCTTAAGTTATAAAAAGGATAGGATTAGATCAATACGTGAATTAGCTGAAGGCTCGCATCATAAATCGCTTCCCAAAGAGGTTTTTCGTATCGACACCGAGTATCGCGCATTCGACAAACCAGTTAATGAAAATGCCTATTCGAATCATGGTTTGTCGAGAATCGATCAATCTCAGAATCCATGGTAACAGATACCTTTTTTAAACAATGTGTGTCAAGGTAACATAATCGTTTAGAAAAAAAATTTTTTTCATTCAATTTTATTTTAACCTTGAAATTTTATTAGAAAAAGGAAACGCATCGTGTAACTCGAAACGTTCTTATCGACGATAATCGTGTAAATGACGTAAATATTCCTATGTATTTATATCGAAAACGTTATATCGAAAACGTTTGTATTGATGGTATGGTATAAGATATCGATAACTTTTCTGAAGATGTGACTATAACATCTGACATATTGGAAAAGTTTTTAAACAATATAAGTCACGTGTTTAACAAACCTTACGTAATGTATAACAATTAAGACGCTATATAAGAGAATAGACAGAAACCTATGTATTCATAACATTAT